ATTTTCAAACCTTATAAGTTATAACTATGCAAAATTGAACATTTTATACATTTTAGATGCTGAGTGAAACGATGAATGTATTGATTTTACAATGATATTGTGTGTTTTTTTTTTTTATTTATATTTTTATTTATTTTTGTGTCTGTGTATACGATAAGTAATCGAAATAATGCTTCGATTTTCTTCAACAGTATCTTTGCTGATAGGAAAGTGAATATTGTTGGTGCATTGAGAAGGTCAAAATTTAAAATTCCCAATAGTTTTCACAAGCGCCGGGAAAAACAACATAAAAATTAAGGAAAAACGTGAATTTTTACGCAAAATCGGTTTTCCAAAAAATCGATTTGGGTTTTTGGTGTAACTCTTAAACAAATGAACGTATATACATGAAATTTTCACTGGTTGTTTATATTTAAATTTTCTATACACGATAACATTTTCAAAATATTTTGATTTATTTTGAACTGTTTAGGGACATTTTCATTTTCCATTTTTTTTTTTAGTTTTTTTTCTAAAAATGTCAATACAATTTTATTTGTTGGTTAAAAAAGCTTGTAACTTTAATACAAGGCTCCTACTATATTGTTAAAATGGCATTTGAAAAATATTAAAAATCCTTAGTCACAGTTTTTTTTATAAGCATTTAATGTTCAAAAATTGACAAAATATGGAAAAATCACGAAAATTATCAAATTATTTTGAGTTAAGAATTCATAAAAATTTTTCTTTTTAAATCTAAGGTTTTAAAATGTAACACAAGATTTCTTATAAGATTATCTTCTATTATCAAAAAAAAAATGTCTATAAGAAAGTAAAATTACATTTTTATGAGCGTTTGAAATTCAAATTTTTACAACATTGGATATTCACTTGATTTCTAATGTAGCGATTTTCTTATTTTGTTGTAATTCAAAAACGAATAACTGTAGATATATGAAAATTTCACTGAATATTTATATTAGCATTTCCTATACATCATACAATTTTGAAAATATTTTGACTCTTTTGAGCTGTTTACGGACATTTTCAGTTTTCAATTTTTTTAGTTTTTTTTCTATGAATATCAATACATTTTATCTGTTGGGCTAAAAAGTGTAAAAATTTAATACAAGGCTCCTGATATATTGTTACAATATCAGTTGAAAAACATTAAAAATACATAGGCACAATTTTTTTTCATAAGCATTTAAAGATCAAATTTTGACAAAATGTATCAAATTTAAAATTGAATAATTATTTTGTAGTTAAAAATGTATAAAATGTTCAACTTTTATATCTAAGGATTGAAAATTTAAAACTAGATTCCATGTAAGTATACATAATTAGTTATAGTTATAGTAATAGTATTGTTAATTTTGTTACCAAAAAATCTAAAAAATATATGAACGCAGTTATTTTTTACAAACATTTTAAATTCAAATTTGGACGAAATTACATATTAAAAAACATAGAATAACTATTTTAGTTATTTTGTAGTGATTGTATAATATTATTCGTGGGTACTTGAAACTTCTAAAGTGTACTATTATATATCTATGATAGTATCAGGGTTTGTTGTTGATGTATAACGCGTTATAAGTACCTTATGGATATTGTGATATGATTAATTTGGAATTTATTATTTACCTACCTATTATAGGTCAATTTTTATTTAATAGCATAGATATTTATATAATATGTCTTATATCTAGACTGACATACCGTCTCCGTTCAGAATCGTTTTTCTTATACAATGATATTATATCATTAAATTCAAATTTAATACCATCCATTATACAGTGACCCACTTGTAACCTACAGTACAGCAGAGCACCTTTTTAAGTTTTAACTACAAAATAATTTGCAAATTCTCTTGACTTTTAAAGATTTTGAAGAATTTTATCAATAATTTAACTTAAAATATCATAAAAAATGTAATATAGGTATACATATAATTATAGCAATAATGATTGTGTGTATGTGTGGGTGAGTGTTGGGCGTCGGCTGGAGTTGCATTTGTTATTCGTACAATTAATAAAATATTATGCTCACGGCGACGGCCATGGTGCGAACAATGTGTATAGGTAAAATATAGGTAATTGGTAATACTATTGAATTTTGATTATAATTTATTCTTAGGCCCTTAGCTGAAGAAACTGAAGCTACTAAAAATAAATATAAACAAGATATATTACTATATAGTATATACCTAACCAATAGAAATATTACTATATATAAATATATTACTAGTTTTACTATAGGTGTCTTATTGTCTCAGATTTTTAGAAAATACCTTAGTGTACAGTGTACACAGGTCACAGACCCAAAAAATAAAAACCCATAAATCATTGTCAATACATACATCGATTTGCTCAGAACCCAAAATATGAAATTGATAATAAATTAAATACGCATATTATATATTAATAAATTGTATTCTGTAAGTGATAAGTAGTTTCTAAACTATACAATACGATTTTGAATATGACCAATTTTTCACAAGATTTTGTTACTTTTATTATGTTTGTTTTAAGCGACGAAATAAAAATCTAAGTCCGATGGGCACTGTAAAAAATTATACTCTTTCTAAAGAGAAAAAAAATTAATCAAATCAGACCACTCTACGATGCCTGAGGGCTGAAATTTTTTTCCCGTAAAGTATGTTTTGAGCAAAAAAATCATGCATTTTATTTTTGGTCGGTGGTGCCGTTGACAATACGTGTGCACATGCAGTGCGTTTGTAGATAGCCCGGTACAGCATACAATCACTCACACTAATCATTATTGACAACTAACACAAATGCCATTGGCGGCGGAAACGAAATTGCATATTGCCTAAATATTGCGCCTTATTAAGACACACGAGCAGGCCCCTTAAGGCAGTCTACTTGAGAGCGCTAGTATCGTTTTTTTAAAATTCCGGATTTTTACGGTCCACGATATTATGGTCCGCACATTTTTATTTTCCGGATTTTTACGGTCCGGGATATAACGGCCCGTACATTTTAACTTTCCGGATTTTTACGGTCCGGGATATAACGGTCCATACATTTTTATTTTCCGGATTTTTACGGTCCGTGATATTACGGTCCGAATATTTACATTCCGGAATCGTACGGTCCGTTCAATTATTTTCCGGGATTTTACATGCGTAGGAAATATTGTAGGAAATACTCAATAGGAAAACCATGACGAGAACCTAAATCAGAACAATAGTCAATAATAATAATAATAATAATATGTCTATAAATAAATAAATAAAAATATCTATTTATGTTCGGTTCCGACACATGCAGAGTTGCCAATGCTGTTACCATATAATAATCTTAGATCATATACTATGGATGGAGCCACTGCGTATTATAGCAATACAAAAAGTTGAAGCCGATATTAGCGACGAGTCACCGAATTAGGTGATCGATATGCGCATGCGCGAAACAACTCGTTTAATATTAATATAATCACCAGCTGATAAATATGTGAGAGGTTGCGTTGCACATGCGCATATCGAACACCTAATTCGGTGACTCGGCTGGGATGGGGACAGTTATAATATTAATATTAAACGAGTTGTTTCGCGCATGCGCATATCGATCACCTAATTCGGTGACTCGTCGCTAATATCGGCTTCAAAATAATATGCAGTGGCTCCATCCATAGTATATGATCTAAGATAATAATTTAATACATTAAATAAAATATTATTTTTCTATGGTGGTACAATGATAAAAGCGATTGTTCCATGACGAGAAACATTATCGCGGTCGTATCAAAACACTAAACACAACAGAAAAGAGATTAGACTAAGGATTAGACTAAGCAGCAGCTGCAACTCGCTGCTTAATGCTTTTTAAACGTTTATAAACGATACGGTCGCACTGCGTATTTTAAACGTCTTAATAATATTAATATTAATGTTTGACCACGTTCTGTGATTTATATAATAGTTGAATTTTTGTTCACCTTTCGAAATAATGGGGTCATCTAAACACAAGAAGAAGGACAAGAAGAAACGACACCACTCCAGTGATTCGTCGGACGGTGACTTATCGTCTAAACACAGGAAAAGGAGACATCCATCTAGTGATTTGTCTGATGTAGATGTCTCCAACAAACATAAGAAACACAAGAAACATCATAAGAAAAAAGAAAAGCCAAAAGACAAACATGCTAAGTATCACAGTTCAGGCAAGTTATTTTATTAATATATTCAACCCGAAAGTTTTATTAACTATTATTTAATCTTTCTATATTAACACTATACCTGGATACCAATTTGGATCATTTAATATATATAATATTATAATGTAGCTAGTGTAAATAACCCTTTAAATAATTGTTAATATAACTTTGTAATAATTATTTTGCTAATGACCCTGGAAACCGAATATTATTATTTTTAAATAAGAAGAAAAACACATTCTGTTAATATATACACATTAATGTTGCTGTATAATATGTTATAATTTATTATATATTATTAATGAGAATAGTAAAAATAAAATGTTTTGAAAATGCTAACTATTTTTTAAGAAAACTTGTGTATTTTACTTTAAAAATACATAAAATCTTTATATTTATTCTTAGATGTACATAATAATTTGTTTTATCTTACAATTTAGATGATGATGTTATTTTTGTACCACCGCCTCCAAAAATATCTCGAAATGAGGTTCGCACTCCACCACCTCCAAGCCTTACACCACCGCCTCCTCCAACTATATCATCAGCAGCAGACAGTCTGTCAATTGATGAAACAAATAAAATTAGAGCTAAATTAGGTCTCAAGCCATTGCAGATGGAAAATAAAGAAACTACTAAAGTAGAGATGAGGGTTAGAAGTTATTGCCGGCGATTGAAGGCGAATTTGTTCATAAACCTGCATGTAATAAACAATTTGAATTTAAGAAGTGTTTATTTTTGTATTAACTTTTGATTTTTCTAATTATTTAGTAAGTTTAACAGAAAAAAATAAAAGTGATAAAATAAAAGCAAGAATAGCTGAGAAAAAAGAAAAACGTATGATTGAAAACAAGATATTAAATGTTAAAAAGTTAGCAGACAGTGATTCTGAAGAAGATGCTGTTAGTTGGGTGAAAAAAACAAAAACTATTCAAGATGAAATGGAAAAAGCAAAGAAAAGGGTAACTAATTACATTTTTTTTTATTAATACTGAGTATTTTATTATTATGTTTTTTGGAATGAATTTTCAGCAATGTTTTTGTTTTGTCAAAAGGCTCAAGAATTGGAAGAAATGGACAACGTATTTGGTGTTGGGGATCTCATAGAAGAAAGCACAAAAAGTGAAATGAAGAATTTTTATTCAAGTAAACATTTGAAGGGATTGGAAGTTCAACACTCAATGGTATGTAACAAATAATCAATAATCAAAACTTTTGTATTTTATATTTATTTAATTATCTTAATTATTGATTAGGATGAATTTATTGAAGGAAAGGAAGTTATTTTGACATTACAAGATAAAGATGTATTAGCAGAAGATGCAGATGTCTTAGTCAATGTTAATATGGTTGATAATGAATCATATAAACAAGTAATATTAAAATGTTTAAATACATTTTATACACAACTATTATAAAAAGATACCTGTATTATATATATTTTCTGTTTACTATGTAGAATATTGATAGACGAAAACAACGTCTAAATTATAGTGGCTATGATGAGTTAGAAGACATGGATATTGACAGCCCAAATGTGGTCCTTGGAAAATATGACGAAGAAATCGAGGGATTAAAAAAAAAAAGTTTTAAACTTGGTATATTATCCAATTTATATTATAAAAATTATTAGCTAATTAAAAATAAGTGGTGGTTCTTTTAGAATGAACTGAACCTGGACTAAACTTATTTTAAATTTTATCTTATGTTGTTTATTGAATTCAAACTAAAATTCTTAAATCTTGAGACAATATATTTTTTCGATTAAATTGTATAACCAAAAATACAAATAATATTTACCCTAAGTCCCTGACAATAATAATATTTTATTATTTTTTTTGTTCTTCAATAAATTCAGTACACATTTTAATTTCATTAGTTCAATTTTTAACCTAATTATAAAGTATTTGGTTGGGTTAGAATATTAGCCATTTTAAGTTTGTTTTCCAATTTGAAACTGCCCAAGTTTAGTTAGGTTTGGTTAAACAACCTTGAACAGTTTATAACATTTATTAAGTTTATTATCAATATTGTATATGAATTACTTTTAGGTGTTGATGAGTATAAAGTTAAACGAGATACTATAAAGGAGAAATTAAAAAAAAAGTTAAATCAAGAAACTTTAAATACGACTCAATTGAAACTAGCGTCTGATTATTATAATGATACTGAAATGAGTGTTAAATTTAAAAAAGTCAAGGTAATTTCATTTAATAATTTGACTAAATAATAAATTGTTTAACTCATATTTTTTATTAGAAAAAAAAATTAAGAATGAATCCATTGAAAGCAGATAAATTGGAAAGATCTTTACGGCTTGCAAATAATAATGCCAAAGAAAATGATGATCTTGATGATATTGATGATATATTACAAGGTATGTTTATTTGGTTATGAAACATTTGTATTGAATGTACCTATGTACCTGCTTGGGGTCCATTTATTAATCATAGGCTTTATCAAGCTGTTGTATTTAAACACTTCTTATTTACAAGTAACTTTTGCTTTTTAATATTAAATTTGATTTTTGTCTTTCCTTTGATATGACCATTTTGGTTATATATTCATTTTAATTGTATTAACTATTTTATTAATTAATATTTTATGTTAATGGCCTTGGGTAAATTAAACCCCATTTTTTCTGGAGTACCCTAAATAAATCTAGGTACTTAATGATGAGAGTCTAGTTTATAGTTTTCTAAAGAGCTATAGTCGGAGAATGAAAAGTGGACGCTGGCGTTGGCGTTATGATAGCAAACTTTTTTTCTTCAAAAAACAGTGGTTTTAAAACTCGTATACAACATCATTCTAATACATTTTTAGTAGGTAATTATATCTATTTCTAATATTTCAAAATGCGTGCTCCTTATTTTGCAAAACCATCACAAAAATTCAGTACCAGAAGTGTGCCCATCAGCCCATTGAGCATTTTTTTGAATGTAGAAAAGTTATTAAAAGCTAAATTTGAGTGACTAATTATCACTTATCAGCTATAATTGGTGTAAATCAAACCTGGGTGGTTGAACACCAAATACTGTTTGCAAAACTTATATTATGAATACCTGTAGCATGTTCAGGACAATTGTAGTTTAATATTGTATATTATTGTATAAATAGACAAATTCAAAAATCTCCTAAAACTGTATTTTAATCATTCATAGACAAACCAATGGATACTTATAATATGAAGATGGAAAATGAAGATGATGATGACATGGGATTACAATTGGCGTTAAAAAAGGCAAGAAAATTAAAACAGTTAGAAAAAATCGAAAGAAAACCTGACTTAGCTGATACATTGATTGTAAGTAATTTTTTTCAAAATTAATTATCTCGTTAATTACCATATAAATTCAATAATTTAATAATTTATAATGAACATTTAGTTATTTTTTATACATTCAACAAATTATTTTATATTTTATTTTTTTTAGAAAACTGAATATAATGATAATGCACTAGGGGCAATTGTGTTAAACTCTACTGCTGAGTTTTGTAGAACTCTTGGAGATATACCAACTTATGGTAAAGCTGGGAATAGAGAAGAAGAAGAAGATGAGTCATTAATGGTAATATATACATAAATTCGACTAAACTCATTAAAAAAAAATTTTTATAATTTATATTTGTTTTAGGACTATGATAAAAATAATTTAAAACAAGAACATGCAGTTGACTCTGATGAATCTAATGATGGATGGAGAGAAGTAGAAATGGGTATGTCACATTTTTATTTGTTAAAAGTGTCTTTTTTACATTTAATTTATTAATTTCAGAGAAAAGGTTAATAGATCTAAAAACAATTGATAGCAAGCCAATTTTAGAACCAGAACCTGACTTAGGTAAAGGTGTAGCTGGGGCTTTAAGATTGGCTATGAGTAAAGGGTATATCGAAAAAGAAGAAAATGCTCGACCATCTGCTTCAAGATTTGCTCATTTGCAAGCAAAAAATTATTCTATTGAAGATAAAACGTTTTTGTAAGTTACATTGTTGAATATTATAATGGTGATTTGATCATGTATAAAATAAAATACATTATTATTAAATGTATGAATAAGTTATTTGTTGATTTTAAATTAAATTAATTTAATGTTTTATGTTTGTGAATTAGAGCTGAAGATGATAAATTAAGTAGAAGAGACAGATACAGTGGCCCTACGGTAGAATTTAGAGAAAAAGACAGTTACAAACCAAATATAAAACTGGATTATATAGACGATGATGGTCATTTATTATGTGAAAAAGAAGCATTTAGGTTTGTAAAAATTTTAATACTTAAAATGAGTAAAAATGTATGCAAATATTAATAATTAAAATTAAAATTATTTTAGGTATTTGTCACATAAATTCCACGGGAAGGGTCCTGGCAAAAATAAAATAGAGAAACGTATAAAAAAAGCCGAACAAGAAGCCGTAATTGATTAATTATTAACTATTATACCTAATAAACTTCATTTAAATTCGTAGATTTCAATAATTTATATATTTTTTAGCTAATGAAACAAATGAGCTCAACAGATACACCTCTTGGTACATTGAATATGCTGCAATCCAAGCAAAAAGAAACACAATCTCCTTACATAGTTTTGAGTGGAACTAAGTCAACTCATCAGAACCATGGGTAAAAGTGCAATTTTTTTTATATATTATACTATTGAGCTTAATACATTTATTATTTCTACAGGGGTTCAATTTCAAAAACAAAAATCGGCTGAGATAAATAATCATATGCAAATGTTTAACATTTATTGGTAATGTAACAACGGACAATTACTGCTTTAATAATTTGATACTGTAAAATTACACAACTTTTTAGATACTAATTAAATTATACACCATTTAGATGTTATCTTATAATTTGTATCTTTTAAGACATTAGCAATTGAAATATATTTTATAGACAGTATTAAAGTTTACATGTAACAATATTAAAATATATTGATGTTTTTGATTTTTGATTTGAAATACTTGACAAATTGTTGTTGGTTAGTAGACATTTGTTTATTTTATGGGTCAGTCAAAGGTATGTCGTTTTGGTCAATTTGTGATGATGAGCCAGTTGTTGATGATGTGTTTGTTGTTTTTTTCTTTTCATACGTATCCATTCCTTGTGCATATGGCGGTTTACTGTTAGTCATAAAATAGTAAATTCCTTTTTGGCTGTAAAACAAAATCAACATTCATTAAATTATCACTGCATCTATTCTTTTTATGTTTGTATTTTCAACATTGTAACATGCATATTTTTATACTATGTAACAAGATATCTGTTGAGGTATGTCACACAGGTATTCACTCACGTTCTGTTCACATGTTCGCCCATGACTATTAATGGTGATGTTTCAGACGTCTTGCAAAATTTCAATTTGTACATTATGTAGCTTATACACTTGACGGCCAAAAACTGAGTTTTGCTGCTTATTGACTCTGCGAAATATTCAACAGCCCGCACATGACTGCACGACGTATCTGGACGGTTCACCAAAATCAATTAGTGCTCAAAATATAGGAACAACAAATACATAATATGGTACATCAATAGCACACTCCTATCATGGGCACAGACTACCCAATTATTATAATGCGTATCGTGTACCCTACTGATGTCACATAAACAGGTATAATTACTTGTGCCGCAGCCAGGTTGTGCGATGCCATTGTTGGCGTAAAAGTCCAAGTGACCTAGTGGGGCCATTTTTCCTTTGAAGCCTATGTTGCTGTGCACTACGTCCACAAACAATGCATCCGATTTATCCAACACTTCGTTGCTGAGCAAGAACGTGTCGAATAGCGGGGATGCTGGGTCTAGACCTGCAATAGATATGATATTAAATTACCTATTTTGAATTCTTAAACATTTTCTAAAAAAATATCTTATAAATAATAAATTAGTTCATGGGGGAGTTCCGACCCCACTCCATACCCGATACCCCCACCATTATATATGTCCAATGCCCCTGTAATACAGAACTCTAGGAAACTTTTGGCAGTCCGACTCTGAAGTCTTTTCCAACGTCTCATGACCTAAAATAATAGTTAATATTATTATGGTAGATCGTAGATAGCATTATAATAATCTCATTAGAACTGAAATACTGTTAAAATAATTGTATACATTATGTATGAGACATGAGTAAATAAAAACAAAAATTGTATATTCAATTTAAATAGGTACCTATAGGTCGACTCGCTTCACAAGTCATCAGATACCTATGTAGTGTTTAAGATTTTTGTTTCGAGATTTATTTTTAGATTTCGAGCTAACCTTCGTGGTTTATTTTTTATCTTTTCTCTATGACCAATAACCGTTGATCAATATTTAGTATTGATTTTGGACTTTGGGTGTATATCGGTATCAGACTTTCACAAACAATTACTCTTGGAGCATGTTTAAATTTTGGACCACACAATCAACATTTTGATTGAATAGTGAATTACGAAAACCAAAAGGTGCCTCAACGGGGATGACGAACAATATTCACTGTCTATAATCTATATTCTCTATACTATAATATTATAGTAGAGATTATATACATTTATACAATTATACCTAATATACCTAGTACAATATGATGAGTAATTTATTGATCGATGATGCACTAATTAGTACCTACACATGACTCGACCCAGTGAAACCAGCTAGAAATTAGAATCTAGTGGTGTAATGGCTGTCAGTACTCAGTGGCGGCTATCAAACAAAATAAAGGTGTATCAAATTTTGAATTTAGTTACCCACCCACCAACTCTGGTATACAATGGTATACAATTTAGTGCCTAACCAATAATTTACCACCCACCCACCCAATTATAAGGTGTATCGACGGATACAACTTGAGTATAAGATAGCCGCCACTGATGGCTGTGTTATATTATTTTTATGTATGCATTGATATCGGTGTACCTATTAAATATTAGTATTATGAGTTCAATGTTTAAGATGTGTTAATATTAAATTTACAATCGTAAGACAAAATAATGTACTACCTAGGTATTAGTAGGGTTTGGATTTGAAGGCAATATAAACAATAAAAAAGCATTAAAAATATGAAAAAGGTAAAAAAGCGTTTAATATGTATAAAAAAAATGAATAGGTTTCTCTCAAACATATATATACCTATATATAATTGAGGACCTTTCTGAGACAGTTTTGATGTGTAGGTCTGAAACGTGTGGTTAGATACTTAGAGAGGGGCCTTAGTTATCATGTGAAGGGTGATCGATTGGAACCTTGAATTTTGTTTCAATATGGCAATTTAGCCTCACCTTATATCTGGATGTTGTAAATCCATATAGTCATAGCAGTTGCTTGTAAATGAGTAGTTTGGTATTGAGATTGAATTTTGAGTGGTTACCATGAAAATAATAAAGTGATTTCCTTATGAGGTTTAGACTGTTTAGAGTACTACAGTATGACAGTACGTTTAATTTTTATATGTTCTGCCCAGGTGAAACGTTATAATTTTGTCATCTGAAAATTCAGCTACTGAAGTATACGGGGTAGTTGGTTGGTCAGCTGTGTACAAGTTATATAGGAAGGGAGAGGTAATAGCACCTTGGGGGCCACCAGCTAGACCAACAACCCACCAATAAAATAAATACGGTGTGTATTATAAATTGCGTAGGTAATCTAAAATAGAAATGTAGACACAATCAATTTTTTTTTCGAGCACCCCTTGTTCCAATTTTCTGGATCCGCACCTGTTAACCTAACCACCTAGATTAAATAATATCATAATCGTAGATCGTAATATATATTGTTACTATATCATGATCTATCATGGTCAAAGAATATAATGTTATAACTATTCGTACATACCGGTTATCCGCTGGATAGTGCAGTTCATCAGCCGCCCGACGTGGCCGGCCACTTGAGCGCCCAAGCTAAATCCGACCACGTGCAAGTCACGGAGGTACAGGTCCGGTCGCAATCTGAACAGCCTCAACAGTAGCATCTTTGTGCATTTGCCCACCAGTGGAACGTTGTGCACTGCTTGCACGTAACACGGTGGTTGCACCAGCTCCTTGTAGTTCACAGATATCACGTTCAGGTTTTGGTATGCAAGGTATGCTGGTGGACAACAGACCGACAGACGGGGTATTAAAGCCAGTGGCGTATAAAGGATTTTATGCCGTTGATGGGGGGGGTGGGGTAGAAGGGGTAGTTGTAATAATAATTCTACACCACCCAAATACATTTATTTTCAGGGGTGTGGGGCTAATAATTGTAGACGCCACTATATAGCCATATAGGGGCTCGAGTGACCTACGCAGTCATTGCGTATGTCGATACGCCGATTGTTGATAATGTATGTGCGTATTTATGATTTGGTTTTTTGTATATAATATTTTTATTTTTATCTATTTTTTAATTGTTGTTATTGTGCGGAGACTGGAGACATAATGTTATTATATGTACATGTATTATATTATTAATATTATGTATACACATTACACATCGTTTTATTTTCAGGGAGGGGTAGGGGATTGAACCCCTATAAAGTAGTATACATCCCACCTAAGTACGCCACTTCCACCTACCAGTTAATATTTGATATAAAATTAGGAAAAATGTATCGGTACGTTCATGTCATGTTAATCCGATTTTAACAGCAACTTATCCGACCTCTGTCGTGGGTGAAAAACATTTTACCAATCATTACGGTGGGTGGACAAATCTTTTCCACCCTCGGGGCACAATAAAGTATTTACTGTCCACTGGACGGAAAAAAGTCATTTTACAACGCTTCATCTGGCATCGAAAATAATATTAAACTTTCGGTGCAGGTGTGACAAAAAATATATTTTAGACGTAATTATAGTATAACTACCTATTATAATAATATAAATCAGTAGAGGTGGACAAGTAAGTTATTTTTTTCAACCAGTTAAAGTTTAGTTCCTTTAACATAAAACTAATTAAGTAAGTTTCTAAAATGTTCACAAATTAGCTAGAAGTTAGTTGTTGAAAATAATATATCTAGTTAGAAGTTAGTTAGGTATTTTAATACTTAGTTAAAAAATATATAAACTTGAAAACCTAAAATCCACTCATATGCATATAGTAATAGAAGACAATCCTACTGACAAAAGACCGAGGTTGGGAAGAGTGGAAGACTACGTCTGAGATGTGAGGACATAGGTAGTAAATAATGATGTGAAAGCGTTAGGGGGAGGTTTAGACTGAATGATATAGGCGGCAGTTAGAGAAAAATGGAGGCAAGGATGTATGTCCGGATGGTCCTAGTGGCCAAGTTAACTGAAGAAGAAGAAACTTAAAAAACAGTTTATTAAAATGAAAATATTACATTAAATGAATAATTATAGGAACTAATTATAACTATTTATATTATATCTACAGCCGTCGTTTAAATTAAGCATTACAATAAATATACCCCAAAAATAAATGTACCTAACTATTTATCAGTTATCTCCATAATATACTGAATACTAATTATTAAATATGTTATTATCCAGTAGGCATTCCGCAGTTTTACGATATCAGAACATAAGGATTTTTTAAGCAAAAAAAAATTACGAGTAGGTATACACATCATTTAATGATGCTAATTTAGCTATGTGCTTTTTGTCGTTAAATTATATTATTTTACCCATTAAATTCAACTCTTTAGGGGGCTGCAGCAGGTTTTGTCAAAAGTCAAAACTAATGTAGATTTGACCAATCTAAACATTAATTTTGTTTGTTATAATTTTTTCAATATAATTAAATTCCATATCATAAAATAAACCTTAAGGATGCTGGAGGGGGCTTCAGTCAATGAAAAAAAAGTGACTTTTAGACCAATAAGCTAGACAAAACTGGAGGAATTTGGTTTGACAGATTTTAATTTTGAAAACGGATTATGATTGATCAACAAGTTTACTAGAGAATGATCGAGGTGATTTTGAATATTCAAATTAAGTATTGTTAGTGTCATAATCAATAATATAAATACAAAAATATCATATTTTTTCGATATTTTTGTTCTTGGATATGGATGTATTGGACAGCAGCAAAAAAAATATTCAAAATCTCCTCGATCATTTCCTAGTAAACTTGTTGATCAATCATAATCCGTTTTCAAAATTAAAATCTGTCTAACCAAATTCTTCCAGTTTTGTCTAGCTTATTGGTCTATAGGTCACTTTTTTCATCGGCTGCAGCCCACTTAGGCGATAAAGTTATTTCGACTTAAAACCAACTAGTTAAGTTAGAAAGTTACCTTAACTTGGTTAGTGTCCAGCTTTGAATTTATTTAACATCTAAGTGTATAGGTTATTAGGTAGGTACTAATAAGCTATACATAAATAGCTTCCTCTTTCATTATTCACATATAGGTACTCATATGGTTTTGGGGAACGGAGGATACTGATTTTTATCATTTAGATAAACTAAGCTTCTGGGGTGATGAAATTGCAACTGAGGAGTTACATACTACAATCCCACCGTAAATTCACCAATAAATTTAGGTTGCTATCCAGCGGCTACACCGTTTTGAATATTAAGCAGTTAACGGTTAGCACACCCGATTCTGCGCATATGATTAACCTCTTCGCCTATCTACAGAATAGGTACCTATACTGGACATTTATTATCTGTCTTCGTAATTAATGTTTTACCACATGCCTCTTCCCAGCGACGTGCTGAACAATTTCCAGACCTGAGGCAAACTCACTATACCAATTTGACCACCCACCCGGCACCCACAGCTTTATGCCTTTATTAGTTTCCATTTTTAGAACTTTATTTAAATTAATAGTTTAAACATCATTACTTAAAACTTTTTATCGTACTAAATCCATTGCCCGGTATCAACCCACACGTGAATTTTTTTAGGCAATTGCCTCAAAAAACCCTACTTAGGAACGCCATCCTCCCTACGATACCAACACGATTTCTTATGTTATACAAATTAGTGACGTTCTTGGTCGTTGATTCATAATTAGTTGTAAACATAATAACGAATATTTTCTTTTTTACTTGACAGTTAGATAAAGGATTTTCGATAGGACCCTATAGCGCCCCCCGCTAGATCCACCCCTGCGCCAACCAGGGATAACTTTTTCAATTAAACTATATATTATGACAAGCGTAGTTAACAAACTATATTGTCCGTCCGCTATAGCTTTTATGACTGAGTGCGCGCTTATCTTTAGTTTTTAAAATTAAAAATAATTTAATGATAATATTACCTCTGCGAGAGACTATAAACTATATTTATGTGAAGTGTATACAACTACACAAGTAGGTAGGTACCTAAATGTTTCGCTCATACAACTGACCGTCGGTAAACGTTCCTGATCCTCCACGCAGATACTCCTGATGGCACGATAAACACGTCACTGTGTATGGCCGACCATTGTCGGTCTGTGGACAGATGAGTGGTCGGTATAAAATGCGCCGGTCGTGTTGGCGGGATGCGCAATCACTGACATGTTTTGGTCGAGGGCTCGAGGCACAGGTTACATATCTTGTGGGACCACAACTGCGGTATGTAGTTATGAGTTTTTACGTTATAGTGGTTTTTTTTTAGTAATTTGTGGTTTCATCATACTAAATTGTTATTATTACTGTATGTCCTTAATAAAAACGTTTAATTACTGGTACATAGCGTGTATATGACTTAAGAATAAAATTTAATGAAACTCGAGAACTGAACACACATACAACCGGCTACCACATGTAATTTATAAAATATAATGATTCATCTGAAATAGACGTTTAAAATTGCATTATTAGTGAGTGTGATATTATCTATCATATTATATGCAAAGCACGAGAGCGTCAGTGCGTCGGTACGCGGGCTATAATAATTTTGCTTTAATTAAAATCAAGTTATTTTGTGTTTTAAACTTTGCTGATGTAGTAAAATGCAGAATAATATTATAAGGATAATAAATAATTAGTTTTAGAAAAACTAAATCTAAATAATGTCAAGCACGTATCTAGATAGATCAAACAAAGCGGTCTTATTCCCAAAGGTGTTGTTTACAAGCGTAATCAGGTGACATAACTCCCACTAACATGATTTGTATAATAAAGGCTTTTAATTCGTCCTATCTGTTATTATATCTATATGTAGTGCTTATAAATATTTTAATAAAAGTGCTCGAATAAAATAATAGGACTTAATTGTTAATGTTAGGTAATCGTTTGAACAAAAGAAAAAGATTATTAAAACAAAATGTCATACGCTGCATAATATAATTAGTATATAACACTAACATATACAAACTAAATTAGGTACCATTAATATTAATAGTTCGTTATTTAATCATTTATCACTATTATTATATTTAGAAATTATAAACATGTGTTAAAAACATAAAAATAATGATAAATTAACCTAACATGGTCCCATGGAACACATAAATCAATATGAAATTAGTTTATTTCGATGATATGAAATTATGTAGGTACCTATGAATATTGATAATGCTTGGAAATATCCATACACCACAAAGTGTATAGTTTCACGTGTCTCGTAATATTATTCAAATTATCAGACTTTAAAGCAACTACATTGATGAACGTATTAGGAGCAAAATATTGAGTAGGTACCTATGTAAAATAATAATTAAAAAGTGGGCAAGGAGAGGTAACCACTCCGCTGTACAATAAATGTCGAGTGTATCTCGTCATTGAATAAGTCACTGTCATAGATTTGAATTTGAATTCAATGATAAACCATTGCATATAAGAAGAACGATTCTGAGCGGAGACGGTTGACCGACTTGTCTATATTTTATATAATACCTAGTAGGTATATAATATATTATATTTTTAATCGTATTATTATTTTAAATACTATTTAAAACAAATTATTTTAATAAATAATTATTGGCGGATTATAATTTCAAAATATTTTCAAAAAAAATAGAGTAAATTAGCTATTTGGTTTATAACCAGAATGGTAATCGTAAACAATACATAATTACTCAAATTATTAAAATATACCTACAATTCTTACATTTTTAGAAATTAATCCATAGATTAAAGGAAATACATTTTTACTGGAATATAGCGTGTTGAGATTTTAGTTACCAACAAATTCACTTTTTCGAAAGTATACAAAATTTTAAATTATAACTATTATAAATGATAAAATATGATATACCATATTTGCGTATTAATTTATTGTTAAAATGTATGTAATTATATGCAATATGCCATTGTTAATACTTTTTTTCGAAGCGGTTATTTAATAGGAGTAGGTAGGTATACTAACCTTATTGTTTTTAAATTTAATTGGCTTACACCCCGTAGTATTCACTGATGTACGTTTTGTTTCATATTCATTAATATAATACCATTTACGATAAACTGTGTTATTCTATGAAAATAGTCATTGTTTCGAAAAAAGTATATTTTGTACAGATTATGTTTTTGTTTTTTTGGGACTCATCATTATTATTACTACTATTCAAATATAATATTCACCATTGACTATCTCCTATACACTTGTACCTACTTCTGATCTAGTCGTGGTTTGAAATTATAATAACCTACATGTTTGATTTTATTGGCCTTAACGAGAGTGGTGAAAAACTGAAATATAAAATATATGCTTATAGTAAAGTATTAGGTATAAGTGTATAACATATAATATTTACGATTTCGCATTAGTATTTATTATTAAGACGGATTATAAATACTATAATTTACAATGAATGGTATAATTGTGTACATAGATATTATATTTTTTTAATCGGGCACAAATTTGTCTAACGTGGTGAGGTTTTCACCAAAATCCCTTTACTCGTTTAATTTGCTTTTGTTGACAGCGTTGTACTAAAACACTATATCCGTTGTTCTGTGGTACAATAATAATGTATCATAATTATGATGATAATGTTCGTGGCTTTAAAACGACGTGTCAAGTGACTTAGTGAAATCTTGGTAAATACATAGTATACCGAAACTTAAACACTAGCTTAAAATACAAAGTTGAGCAAGTTGATAAAATTTGTTATTATGTGAAGTTAAACGAATTTACGTAAATTGAACTAGAGCTGAAATTAAAATGCTATTAATATTATGTAAACGAAAATTTTAGTTGAAAATTTATATTTTAGCATAATATTTTATTCATATTACGTATTTACTAAATACGTTTAAAAGATATCGTGTTATAAATTTGTAATACAATATCATAAACGTCATACGACTTTACAAGGCGATTCAAATATATTATAATTGTAAATATGTTGACAAGGTATAGGTACTATGTTATTACGTGGTTTCTACTTAAGTTATAAAAACATTATTTTATAAACAGGTCAATGTTTTTGGGAGAATTACCGCTTGTAACCGAGTTCAGGTAGGTAGGTTATTAAAAGTAAATACCGGGCACTGGCAGACAGAAATACAATTACATCCATACACTAATTAACAATAGGGTTAATGAAAATTAGAAAAAACATTATTGCCCAATTTTAGTAAATTAAATAATCCAAAAATTATTCCTTTATATTTTTATAATATATTTAAAAAATATTATATTATGTGAGTATTTATGAATTTTGAACATTACATTATTAAAACATAATATTTTGTTGGTTAATAAACAATATTTATTTAAATTGAAGTGTAACTTGTATTTTAATTTCTATATATAATTTCCGATTGGATTAAACAATTATATATTTTTTATTTCAACATCATAATATATTATCTTATACAGGTAGTATATTCAACATAAATATATTTGATATAGGTACAAATATAAATATATATTTATTTTTATTTGCATGTTTTAAAAGTTGCAGTATAGCTAATATATATAAATATATATTGCAGTATAGCTGATTTATTAAGAATAAATTTAAGGGGCATTATCCAAGTATTGTAACATAATAATTATCTCAGGTTTGACCAGTAATTGGAGTCTGCAGCGCACGGCTATGTATACATATTTCTTTGGAAAAAAATTCCCTTAGGTACCAACCACTAGGGGAAAATACTCAAGCATAAAAATCAAGCCATTTTTAATCAATAATTTGGAAAATAAAAGTAAATATATATATGGTAAAATATATAGGTATACTATATATATACATGAATTAGGAGTGTTTTAATTTTTTTCGTATAGATAGGTACCTATTACGATTTGAGATGATATTATAATTGTTGCGATTTCGTTCAATCATAATTTATTAAAATAATAAAGGTATAATATCGTACAACTTTAGTTAATTTAACATAAAACATTTTTTGTTATATTTTAAAAGAATTTTTGTTGATAATGACCTATAATGTAGGTAGGTATTATTATTTATTAATATTTTATTTTAAGTACCTACTCCATGATGCCCTGCTCTTGCACTTTATGTCTAATGGTAAATATAAATTGTATTAATAATTTTTTATTGATCTTACCTACAGTTAAATTATTATCAATTATTATATTTAGGCCGTGGATACATAATATCATAATGAATTAATTTTTATTCTGGGGGGGGGGCACTTTTTTACCGCAATACGTAATAATATAAGTAGGTATATGACATAAAAAGGGCAGGCTGTCTGCTGTGTACATATAAATAGTAATGTTATAGTTTTAGTGTTACAGTTACCTGGTCTGAGCTCGGTGTTTGGTGAATAGTCCTTGTGACCCGTGTAACCGTGTATGAGCAGCTTGATGGGTGCGTGCGGCACAAAAGGAGCTTCCAACAAGGTCTCCGGCTTCGTGAAGTCTAGTATATAGTTGTCCGCTTCCCTATGTGTACATATTATTTTATGTATATATTTATATTACGTTGTGTACGCATAGCGAGAGCAAGAGAAAAAAAACTAACTTCTAAATAAAAGACTAGTATAATAATTATTTTTTTCGTTTTGTTTTACTATTTCACTACGCAGCCCTTAGGACACAAACGTACGTATACCTATCTCCAGCAATACAACACACACACACACACACACACACACACACACACACACACACACACACACACACACACACACACTTAGGTACGCGATTATTATGAATACAATAATTATTCCGTCTTCTTACCGCCGCTCGTTGTCTAATTAAAATCGTCAACGGTCCACGGGGCGTGTATATAAAACGCATAATACAAGAACGATGCACACAAACGGGCATATAATAACATATTATATACATGGTCCGCGGGTATTTTAATTATCCACGGGGCTTTTGTACGGCTCCTGTAGTCCTTTACCATAATAATAATAATATGTGGTCGGCTGTACTGTTTGAGGTTAGGTATAATATAATGCTGTGTTTGCGTCGCGTGTACGTGTAAATATGTCTCTACACAACTGTATAATGATCGTACACAATATTATTAGGTATAAGGATATCGATGAAAATATACAAATAATATTGGTACCTATACACATGACGTAATATTAAAAAAATAAATTTTAATCGTGTACCTATATTGGCTAATGGCTATATTATAGGACGAATTTAAGTTCCTACACGAGAGTAGCAGGTACAAAAAATACATACGTTATAGTTCCTACACGGCGGAAAAGGTTGAATATGTACACAATTAAATAATTATATGATTAATGTATACGAATTGAAAAAAATAAACATAATATGATGATTAAAAAATATAATAAAAATCGTTATAGCGCATTTTCACAAATAAATATAATATCATAACATGATGGTTAAAAAGTATAATACAAATCGCATAATACGGCATTTTATAAGGTCTAATTCTATAACTTAAAAACTTAACATAAACGAATTGATTAATTTTGTTCATTGTATAATCTGACATTTTTTCATTTATAAAATCTTCTTTTTCGGCGTATTTTTTTACTGATTTTTGGTTTTTCTTTACTAAATGTGGTTCTTATTTTAGTTTACATATTTACTTGAAAAAGTTTGAGAATCTCAATAATTTTAAAAATATGTGGATGTTGGTGATACAAATTTGAGCGGATCGATTTTGATGAAATTTGGTACAGATATTATTATTTATAAAACGATACTCCTGTTAGTGCTGTCGCATAAATGAAAAATTTCAGATTATACAACGAACAAATTACAAAATTAATCAATACGATTATGTTAAATTTTTAAGTTATAGAAATAAACCTCATAAAATATAAAATTTTGCATTATACGATTTTTATTATATTTTTTAATCATCATATTATATTTATTTTTTTCAATTCGTATATACATATTTAACCTTTTCCGCCGTGTATAGGAACTTACATATGTCCGTGTAGGAACTACCGCATGTAATTGTTTACTTGCTACTCTCGTGTCGAACTTACTATTTCCCATATTATAGACACGACATGTATTGTTAGGGGGCGACGATTTTTTTTTGACCCGTCAATCAGCTGCTTGGGTGATGTTTTGGGCGATGACCGAATACAAATACGTCATAATATTCTCCACGCCAGTCGTATATACTTGAACTCTATTTTGTCCATCAGAATCTTATCCACACTTTGAAGTTTCTCCGAGCATAGGTATATTTTCATGGTCGATACGTGTGTCTGAAATTATTTCTAATGTACGCGTGGAAATTATCATCGCCGCGCCGTAAGAGTTTTCTAGTTTCATAATAATATCTACAAGGTAGGTGCGTTTATACATATACATATATATATATATATCGTATTATACACAATTTATATGCATATACACGACACTATGGCACAGTACAATACGTCTCGGTTGACAAGTCTCGCTCGTTAGATACCACGCCCCCCCCCCCGCCGTTACCATCTGAAGTATGTGTAAGCAATGTTCAACGGATCGTGATTTACCCGTCCGGGAACGCTTCAAATCCTCAAGATATATAATATGTATACATGTATATATGTTTAAGACGTGTGTATATATATGGCTCGTACGTCAACGAGTTTCTAGCTATAATATTATTATGAGGACAGATCCGCCCATAAAATAATGTCTTAGTGCATACTTTAAATTATTATACTCCACAATTTTACTATGCATCGATTGTCCTTAACTCGTTGAGGATTTAAATTGTTCTTTCGACTCTAGAAATAAATCTCTCTTCTATCCTCTGACTGTCTCTAATAGATATTACAAATCATTGTACTCTCCTGTGAATAAACTTACGTAGATTGGTAACTCTGAACTCTATATCGTGTAATATTGATTTTGATTTATTTAAAACATCGCTTTCAATGAAAATTCTTAACTATGTTAACTTCTTCATCATGTATTTTATTATACATTGAGTAAACTCAATCCACAATCATGGTGTAACCTTTATCTTTTTAATTTAATCTATTTTTTATGTTTTTTTTTGTTTTTTGTTAAATAACTAATAACTACATAATGTAGGCACCTACAGTGGCGTATACATAACTTTTGTATGGGGGGGGGGGATCAGTTGCAAACAAATTATTATGGAACGAAAATACCTAAACCTAGGTATGTGCTCATTTAAATACCTAATAAATGATAAAACATATATATATTCAATACATTTTATTTTAAATTCTACAAGTAATTATAGAACAAAATTTAATTTCCTTTTTTTTTAGTCAATAAAATTTATTATTTAAGCTATTTTTAGCTTTCAATGAACAAATTACTGATAGCTATTAGCTAGTATGTTGTAGGTATATCCATGTTAGTTGATAATATACAAAATTGATAATGTTTTGGTGTAAATGAGTAAAAACCATCGTGCAATAACCTTATACCTATTACACCATAATAATATTTCTTTTTCTAATGTATAGGAAAATGTATTATTATACGCATGGACATGAGGGCGTCGTCTCCGCCGCGTTGATATCGGTGACGGTGGCTACGGCCCGTGGCTGGTCTACCACATATTATTATTCTTATAATAATTTATTATACTTGTATATGTAATATACATATTATCAAATATCACATAATACGATTATATGAATATGAAATAAATATATGATTACTGATTAATATTAAGTAAATTATTTTTAATTAATTGTTGAATATTGTGTTAAAATAAAAATTTACAAAAAATCCTTGCCATTTTTTTTCCTTGTAATTTCCTTACATTAAGTCATTAAGAACACTATTTTATAAAATTTAAAAAAAGGCCTATGGGGGGGGATCTGACCCCCACATCCCCCCTTGTATACGCCCCTGGGCACCTACCTACATTGTTTTTTGTTGTGTTGTTTTTAATTATTGATATTGATGTAATTTGTCATGATTCAACTAAATATTTTTTTTCTCCTTGTTCACTTTTGAACTGTCACTTTATAAATAATTGTAAATTGGAATAGTTTCCGTAATGTAGATTATTATTATCATAGTATAAGCCGGCGGCGCTATCGAATTGCAATTTTTCGGATGTAAATCATTATTAAAATACTAAGTAGTTACCTACCTATAATTATGGCATAAGCGTTTCATAAGTTCGGAAGACGTTCGAGTACCTACGCTTGCCGTAATGTTATTCCGAATAGATTTCAGATTTTATAATAGCATTGTGGGTGGGTAATCCATGTCTCTATATTTGAAATTTACAACCAATCTGGTATAAAATATTCTAATATGTGCACTAACCGAGTAACGCAACATATACATACCGAAATCCTTATAAATATGACAAACCCAAAACCATGGTGGTTATTTTATGCAGGGTACCTTTATCCAACATATAATAATGTGCACGATGCAATAATGAATTATTACGGTTACACGACCGATCCGGTTATCGGTAAGCGGGGTAATAGTATAGGCACGTCTGTTATAGCACAATATTATTCCACCTGCACTGGTCGTACTTATTTTAATCAGTTATTCATTTTCATAATCGGTACCTACTCTGTAGGTTTCATTATACTTTATAAGAGACGATTATTCATCTTGTTTTCGAGTCGTATCTACCAAAAGAACTATATGTAACATTTATTTTCCAGTGTGAACATGGGAAAACCATGAAAAACGGTCCTCATTTTAAGATGTGACGTACACGTATCGAAAAAACACTAACGATCCGGAATTCCAAAGATTGAAATATAGTTCATCCACACGATCTGCGTTTTTCATAAGTATAATATTTGTTAAGATAACATAAAAATAAAAACAGAATTATTTGAAAAATTACAAATAAAATGGTATGCGCCACGAATGATTATAGTTATAATTAGGTAATTATAATTCTACATACATGACATTTTATAAAAAATATGACGTACCTACCTATATTTATTTGTTTTTTTAACTGAATGCCATACTTCATTTTTTTTTTACCTATCAATTTCTATCAATATATCAAAGTCTTTTTGATACAAAATACAAATATTAGATTGATGTACAACTTTTGGCGAGTTCGAATTTTTAAACTTCAAAAAATGTTGGCTTTTTTATTGGCATAACTATAAAGGAATGTATTTTTATTTTTTATACCAAAATATTTGTTTTAATTTTAGTAAAAAAAAACCATTTGACAAACCAACTATCAGAATAAGACTTCAGAATAAGATTTATAGGTACTATTTTAATTTTATGTATTTGCAATGGGAAATCTATATTTTTTTTTTTTTACCAAACATATTACCTGAACGTATTACCTAGTTCAAGTATATTAGTTTGAACAATGCACGTGTATCGTTTAAAATATTTTAAGTGATATATTGTATTCTAAAACTGTTTTATTTACTTATCGACAAAAGTTGATATTAACACTCCACACACGTAATATAAAATAAGTAAATTTAAGAACAGAGAAGAATACAAAGTACACACTC